GACTGGTGGCTGGAACTAGTCCAATTGGCTGGGAGTACAGCCAGGAGTGGAGAGGAGAAGACTGGCTGATAAGGGATGATACATTTGTCGGGGAAGAATCTTCAGGAAGAGTGAGTTTTCTTCAGGCAGTTTTGTTTAAGAAAAGAGTCATTCTGGTTTCATTTTAACTTTATAATCATCAAAAAAGGCTTTTTTAAAGAGAATTTTTGAAAGATACAGCCCAGAATTATAAGTTTTAACTAATTAGATTCTATCCTATCCCTTTGTAGCATATGTAGCATGCCCTTGAATGGTGGTGCAACATGAAAACACAGGTTAGGGCTCAATCAAGTTTTGTAGCTCTAAATTTGCTGGGTGGGTGGTTTTGTTATGAAGCAAGATGGAACAACCTATTGCTAATGTTGCCTAACATCGCTTATATAAAACACTCACACAATCATTCAGCAGGCACTCAGAGGTTAATATTTTTTTGCCCCCAAAACTTGGGGTGAAGTTTAACTGAACTTGAAACAGAAGCCAACTGTCTTGATTAACATGGGCTGCTAGCATAGCCTTTGAGGGTTGATTAGGTCTTCACTTCCTCCTCAAAGAGAATGGAACAGACAAGCTGCAATGAAGAGGCTAACTGAGGGACATTCCCAGGGTACAATGTCCCAGGGACATTCCTACCTTATCTGAGGGCCCAACCTTGTTGTGTTTTGTATCTTCTTAGGATCCAATGAAATCACTGCTGTTGCACAGGGGCTCCCATCCTGGACTACTCTAGTAAAGGACTAGAGGTTATGCCTTTTCCTCCACAGGTCAGAGGGTGAGTCCCTGGCACAGTCAGCAGGCCTATACTCAAATGGGTCAGCACAGTGTCTTTCCAGCCAGTGCATCAAGAAATGTGTGAAAACCAGGACCAAATTACATGGAAGACATGCAGGTACTGAGGAGTTGGAAGGCAACTCTTTATTACGTTAGCAGGCTGGGGAAAACTGACTTCCAAATCACCAGCTACATCTTGGGGTTAAACAGACATTTATATATGTTTTAAGTCAGAAGTACAAAAGGCTGATAGCAGGGTATTTTGTAATTGGTTATATAGGCTGGATCATCTGTTGTCAAGCAGACTTGTTCTGGGTTGAAGGAGTTTTCATAAGGTCAGGGGCTCGGGTGAGCAGGAAGAATCAATTATGGTCTTTTAACTGAGCCAGTCTGTCCTTGAAGCAAGTTAGCACAACAAGATGTACTTTCTGTCTGAGTTATGTCTATCATAAAAGTTGCAGCTGGAGTCGGAATCTCAAGGCTAGCTGCATATAAATGGACTAGGCCTGCCTTTTCTGCTCTTAATGTACTTTCAGGTTATAAGTTTTAAAATTTCTTTTCCATTACCACTGCCCTAAAACAACCACTTACTATACACATTCCAAGTACTAATTCAAAATTTTTAAGAGAAGCTGGGTATGGTAGCATGTGCCTATAATTGCAGAACTCTAGGAGGCTGAGGCAGAAAGATCACAGTTTTGAACCCAGTCTGGGCAACCTGGTGACTTAACAATACTCTGTCTCAAAAGAAAAAAGAGTATAAGTGTAAGTAGTGGTGGTGGGGTGTCCTGAGAATGTAGCTCAGCAAAAAGACCCCTGGTTCAATCTTCAGTAATGCAAGTAACAGTCATAGGAATCACAATGTAATACTAGGAAACATTCACTTAATTAAACAAGGTAATAAAGTATAAAGGGAGGGACAAAAAAACCATAAAAATGTAGAAAAAAGTGAAATGGCAGATATAAATAATGTAATATGTAATTAAGTAGCATTAAAAGTGGTGAATTAATGCATTCAAAGGCAGATTTCAGGTTAGTTTTTTTTTTCATAAAATGTCCATCTAATAAGCCAATTACAGGAATATACCTTTGATCCAATGATAAAAATAACAAAAAAAAAGGATAAAATATTTATAAATCATGCAAACTATAATCATGTAAGACCTCAAGTGGCTAAAATGTAGTAATGTTAGTCAAGACAGATTTTAAATCAAAAAGATTAACTAATGCAGTATAATCCTAGGATTCTAGGAGGCTGAGGCAAGAAGACCACAAATTCCATCCCAGCCTGAGCAACAATGAACTATTATCTCAAAATAAGAACTAAAAAAGGGCTGAGGATGTAGATCAATGCGAAAGTGCTGGGTTCAATCCTCAGTATTGTTTTTAAAAAAAGAGTTATTAGAGATAAAACGTCAACCTACCATAAAGATATACCAGTTGCAAGCACATATGCACCTAACACTAAACAAAACAGATGAAGTTTAAAACTCATAGAATTAAAAGGAAAAATAAACAGCTCAAAAATAATAGTTGTATTATGAAGCCAATGAGTGCCCCATGGGAAAATGGTCTGCAACTTTACATAATTTCCTTAGGGCAGTGGTGGTGAACTTATGGCATGCATACTACTGCCGACTCTTTGTTATCACAGAAAGCTCTAAAAGGTTCATCATCACTAATTTATGGGCTTCCTGGCTTTGTAGAAAGTAAAGAATATCACTTTCAGCCAAGCATGGTGGCACAAGTCTGTGTCCCAGCATTCGTGAAGCTGAGGCAGGAAGACTGACTGAAAGCAGTTTAAGATCAGTCTAGGCAATACAGAAGACTCCATCTCAAAATAAAGCTAACTAATTTACATCACTTTATAACAGAAAGGAACCTGAGAAGAAGAATTTACTGGGTATTACAGGTTAAACTGGTAGTGACACTTGGCTTGGTTTCTTATCTGTACAAGGCCTTCCAAAAAGTGAAATATAATATTCTTTAAGAGTCACAGCAAAACAACTAGAGTGTGTACAATCCATCTCTTTTTGCTGTACGTGGCTTGTAAAATATGAAACAAACATTTTATAAACTGATCTTATTATGATTAATAAAAACTGGAGGGCCTAAATAAAGAAAAAATATAGTTTCATAAGAAACTGGGATATACTTATTACTAAATTTTGGTCCTGCTCATTATTTTTTTGTGATATTATTATTTACTTGAAATTTAGGATGTATCCTGATGTCTTTCCTAACTACAGGTCTAATGTTCCAAAATGTTCACTAGAATTAAAACTACTTTTCCTGAAGCCTTGCAAGCTACGGTTGATCAGCTTCATAAATACTTCAGAGAAATCACCACACCCTGCATCCTGGAAAATCTCTTCTGTTTCCACTGCTGTTTCCCTCTAACTGCAGATTCCCTAAGTCAATGCCCTAAATATGTTCATAACGGACTGCCCTAGAGCTCCAATTATGTGCATGCACACTACTGTGCTTTTGTTTTTCTTCTGCTCTCACAGAAATGTTTATTAAAGTTGTTTTGTTTAACTTTGATAGAGGTTTCACCAAACTTGGAGATTTCAATACTAGCTTTCAATACTAAATAGAAACATCAGCAAAGAAATGATCGGGAACGTAGGGGACTCCAAGAACCCTGATACTCTAGGATCCAGAATGTTCCCACAGAGCCTCCTGCAGTCACAGGGGGGCTTTTAGAGGATAACTGACTCATGAAGGCCTTCTAGCAGATTTGTGAGGAAGCAGGGTTGAGTCAGAGAGGAGTCACTTGGGGGCAAGCCCTAGAAAGGTCCAGTGAGTTTCCCACCTTTCTCACTCTTTCTTGGTCCTCAGGACATCAGCACTTCTCCTTTGCCCAGGCCCTGTTACCAAGTACTTCCTTGAAGCTAAACCCTGAAAACATAAGCCAAAATAAATCTCTCTTTTAAACTACGGTTACTGGGTGATTTGTCCCAGCGATGAGAAAGTGACTGAGGCAACTGCTAGAAACCAACCAGAACTAGAGACATCTATAAAATACTCCACATAGTAAAAGCAGAATATAACTCTTCACAAGTACTCATTGGAACACACTCTTCATGTTGAACCATATAATGTACCATAAAACAAATTTTGAAAAACTTAAAGAGAATGAAATCATATAAAGTATGTTTCCTTATAAAATTCAATTCTAGATTGTTAACAAAAATAAACTTGGGAAATCCATAAATATATGAAATTAAACAACACATTACTAAATAACCAATGAGTGAAAGAATAAGTTATAAAGGGAAAATTTTAAGTATATTTATATGAATGAAGATAAAAATATGACGTATTACACTTATAAGATGAAGCTAAAGTAGTATTTAGAGGTATATTTAGTTATAAATGCCTGAATTAATTAAGCAGAAAAATGTAGTAATCTAACATGCTACCTCAAAGAAACTAAGAAAAACTGAGTAAACTAAAGCCAAACCAAGCAGCAGAAAGGAAATAAGAGTTAGAACTGGGAAAAGAAGTAGAGAGTAGAAAAAAACAAATTTTTTTTAAAAATCCAAAAGTTTACTTTAAAAAATTAAAACTTTTATCTAGACTGAAAAAAATCCAAATTATTAAAATAAAGAATTATAAAGACATTACTAATGATCTTACAGAACTAAAAAGAATTATAAAGGAATTCTATGAACAACTAATACTATCAATTTAGATAGTTTATTTAAAAATTGGCAACTTTCAAGATGAAAGAATTGCTAAAACAATTTTAAAAGCCAAGTTGGGAGTGTGACTCAGTGGTAGAGTACTTGCCTAAGATGTGTAAGTCCCTGGGTTTCATCATCAATGCCCGAAAGAAAATCTGAATAAATCTAAGGCAAACAAAGAAATCAAATTAGCAGTTTCAAACCTTCCATAAGACAAGTCTAGTTTCAGATAGTTCCACTAGGAAATTTTGTCAAATATTCAACAAAAAAATTAATTCTAATGCTTTAAACAGTATTGTAAAGACTTCTAAATTCATTCTATGAGGCTTACAGTACCAATTAGATAGACTTTTTGCAAATGGAAAGGAACCAAGAGATGGAGGGAGGGAAGAACAGGGAAGTAAAAAGAATTAAAATGTATTTTATCTTAGTCACTTCCCTTGTCACTGGGACAAAAAACCCAACACCCACAATTTAAAGGAGAAAAGGCTTATTTGGACTCACAGTCTGTAGAGGTTTCAGTTCACAGACAGCTAGCTCCATGGCAGAGCAGCATGGCAGAGGAATGGCAGACAAAAAACTGCACAAATCAAGGCAGTGGGGAAGCAGAACTTACGGGAGGGGCTGAGGAGGCAGATACATGGTAGGCCACATCCTCAATGACTCACCTCTTTTGACCACATCCCACCACTCAGGCAAATCAGCTATAAATCCCATAATCCAATCATTTTCATTTATTTATTTATTATGGTACCAGGAATCAAATTCAGGACCTTGTGCTTGTGAGGCAGGTGCTTACACTGCTGAGCTATATCCCTGGCTCAGTCCAATCATTTTCCAAAAGCCCCATCTATGAGTACATGAGGATATTAGGGGATATGCAGATATAAACTGTAACATCCTGCCCTGACCCCTAAAGATTCATCCATATCCCTTTATGCAAAGTGAATTTAGTCTCTAAGATTTGCCAAAGACCTAACAGTCTCAGCACTGCTGAAAAGTCCAAATACAAAGTCTCCCTTAAAAACTTAAGTCAAACTCTTAGCTGTGAGCCCCTGTAAAAATCAAAAATAATGTTAAAACGTTGTTTATATACAAGAGCACAGACAAACATTCCCATTCCAAAAGAGGAATGGTGAGGGTAGACACCAATGGGGCCAAAGTAAGACCTAAACCCATGAGGACACATATTAAATCTTGTTGGTCCATATCCAGCACCTGGGAGAAGTTGTGGTGAGGAGATATGAATTCCAAAGGGCTTGAGAAGCCCTGCCCCTATACTACTGCTGGTGATTATAGCCCATAAGGTCTTTATCCTGCACTGGGTTTGCTCACTCCCTATAATTTACCTCAGATATTTCATGTTCCTGGCTTCTCAATTTCCTGGAGTCTCCACTGCACTTCTGGCTTCATTCTCACAGTTTTGCACATTGCCTGGCCTCCCAGGCTTTCTTCTGAAATATAGGCAGAAGCCTCCATGATCTTGTAACTTCTGCATTCTGTACGCACATGAAACTAATATGTGATGATGTCAAGGTCTGCTGTAGCTGGAACAGTAGCCAAGTCCTTTTGCATCATGGCTGCAATAGTTTCCAGGTGCCTACATGGCTAAGCATGATGAATTGAATCCTGGAGAACAAATTTCTAGTCAGCCATTCTTGAACAGAGCCCTTGGGTTCTCTTCTCAAATTAGTCCTAGTAAACTAAAGGGTAGAATCTTGCTATTTCCTCACATGTCCTCAAGACATTCTTTCTGTGGTCCTCATGTAAAGTCCTAGGCTCTTTTTAATTGTTTCAGCAAACAGTCTCTCCTCTGCTCAACTTTACAGGTCTCAGTTTTACAGGGGGTTCCTCTGAGTGAAACTCAAAACTTTTAAGATCACTCAGCTGTCCTGTTTACTCTTCATTTTCAACAAAGAGCTGGCTAAAAGTCCCTAAATAATACCCATGCCACAGTTTCAACTTGAAATTTCTTCTGCCAGATTAATTAGTACACTGTCCCTAATCTCAGCTCCTACAAAGACTCAGGACATGAGCAAAATGTAGACAAATTTTCTTCCAAAGTATAACCACATGGCCTGGAGTCCAAATGCCAATGGAGTTCCTCTTCTCAACTGACATGGTCTGAACCTGGCCTTTACCATCTAATTTTTTATTGACATGCTGGTTTTCTGAGCCTAAACCAGAATTTCCTTAGCTATTTATAGCATTCTAGGGCTGCTTCTCCAGCTAGCATCTTTGAACCTTTTCAAACTGCTCCCACAAACCAATTCCAAAGGGTTCTGAACTACAATGGTCAGGTAGTGTTAAAACAATGACCCTCCTCCATCTCTGGTACTAAAATCTGCCTTACTCTTTTCCTCATCACTAGGACAAAATACCCAACCTCACAACTTCAAGGAGGAACAGTCTATTTTGGTTCACAGTTTGTAGAAATTTCAGCCCAAAACAGACTGGATCCAAGGCAGAGAAGCATGGCAGAAAGACAAGACAGGAATTGGCCCAAAAGACAAGGCATGGGAGCTACAACCAGTAGTGGTGCTACGAGGGGCAGAGCCACACAATCCCTTTGGAGTTCACATCTTGCTACAGACTGCCTCAGATGCTGCACATGGAACTACAGGACTTAAAATGTGCTCTGCTGGATTTTGGATTTGTTTTAGTCTCAATCCTTTGTATCCCTCTACGTGTAACTTTTGAATGGAAATGTTTATCTTGTGCCCTTGGAATGTTGGAAATGTTTAACTTTCTTTTCATTTGTAACAGGGCTTGCAGCTAAGAGTTTGTCTTAAATCTCAGAAAAGATATTAGACTGGCTCTTTTCAGCAATGCTGAAAATGTTAGAGCTTTGCAACGTTTGGAGAAGGACTAAATGCCTTTTCCACAAATAAACGTACATGAGTTTTTGGAGGGCCAGGGATAGAATATTATGACTTCTGTCTAGGTGTAACTCCAAAGCCTCCTGTAGTCATAGGTGAGGCTTTTCCAAAAGTGACTGGATCTAGAGTGTGTGATGCTGGAATTGATGGTGCAGTGCTAGGATCAAGGACACTAGGATTAAGGGTGTGAGTGCTAACCACCCTAAGTAGTCTGGATAAAATATAAGGGATAGAAGGTGCTGTGGTCACCCCTTGTGGTTTGCTACCTTCTACCAACATGAACAGTTTCTTCTCTGCAATGCCTGTCAGCCATGCCATTCTGCCTTGGACTCAGCCTATTTAGGGCTGAAACTTCTATAGACTGTGAGCTATAAATAAACATTTCTTCCTTTAACTTTGGGTGGTGGGCATTTTATCTCAGCAGTGAGAAAAGTAACTGAGACAATTTCCCTCCAAAATTCATACACCAAAATCCTAACCCCCAGTGGGATGGTATTTAGAGCTGGAGTATTTCGGAAGTGATTACGTCAAGAACTTGCTCTCATGAATAGGATTGGTAAGTTTACAAGAGACACCAGCCTCATCACATACTGAATGTACTGGAGTCTTGTTCTTGGATTTCCAGGCCTCTAGAACTATAAGAAATAACTAGTCATTGTTTATAAAACACCCACTCTATGACACTTTATGATAGAAGCTCAAATTAATTAAGACATAAGAAGTTGGTATCGAGAGATTTGACACAGCTGAATAGAGGAGGAACCACAATGGAGACATTCAAAGAAAATTAAAAGCACAGATAATTAGAAGAAAGGAAGGGACATACATCCTGACACTAAGATCAATCTGAAATAAAAGACTCGTAGGTTATACAAGACATAGACATAGGACTTTATAAAATGGTAAATCAGCCCACAAGGCTGCCAGTGGCACTGCTGCCTGCATGCCAAGCAAGAACTACCATACTGGGAAGTCTTCAAGAAACTAATGGACTGCAAAAGTTCAGCTAACTGAAACAACACAGGACAGATTTGGGATATAAGGCTTCTTGTCTCTTTTGCCTTCCTCCATGCAAAGGATGCTGCAGCCTGGCAGAAAATTTTGTTGACACATACAGGGGCTAGTGACCAAACTGCTCTGAGCTGTGAGCTTTCTTTCAGTTCTCTCGCTCTGTCTCTGTCTCTCTCTGTATATGTTAGCAGCTAACTGGAACCCATGGCAATAAGGTGAGGGACTGCACTGGAGCATGACCATTCCTGCCCTGCAAACCATGGCTTGAGTGAGGGATGTAGGCATGCAGGATTTCAACAGCCTTGGAAGGCTGGCACTGTATTCACTGGAGAGACTGAAGGAAGACTCAGCAGGCTTGGCCTGTCTCCTTGATGGAAATAGCACCATCACCACCACCACTCCTACCCTAAGACAAAAAGTGTGACAGGATAGCGACTTGCCAGTGGAGGTGGGACTGAGGAGGCTGTGAGGACTGGGAGGAGCCAAATGGGACTGAGAACAGCTCTGGGCCCTCTCTATCTGAGGGTACCACAGCCAAGACTAAGAGAGACAAAGACTACTATACTACATCTTTATAAAGGGAACAAGTTAAGAGGAAGAGATAATTACAAATATGTATGCACCAAACACTAGTGTCCCCAGCTATATTAAACAAATATTAATAGATACAAAAATCACATGAGCACCAATACAAATGTAATGGGGGACCTCAATACCCCACTGTCACAAATAGATCAATTAGACAAAAACATCAACAATGAAATATAAGAACTGAACAAACCTGTGAACAAACTGACCTACTGTATGTCAACAGAGCGTTCCACTCCACATCAGAATACATATTCTTCACAGCTGTACATGGGATATTCTCTAAAATAGACCACATTAGTTCACAGAACATGCTTAATAAATGCAAAACAACTGAAAGCATCCCATGCATATTACCTAACATAGTGTAGTGATATTGCAAATCAATAGCTAAAGAAACCATGAAAACTTCATCAACACAAGAAAATTAAATAACACCTTCCTGAACAACCAATGAGTAACACATGAAACTAAAGAAGAAATTGTTTATAGCAGCACAATTTGTAATCGCCAGATCTTGGAAACAACCCAAGTGTCCATCAACTGAGGAATGGATAAAAAAGTTGTGGTATTTCTATACAATGGAATATTATTCAGCTATAAAGAAGGATCACATTGAGATATTTATCAATAAATGGGCGCAGCTTGAGACCATACTCATAAGTGAAATAAATCAATCTCGCATGTGTGAATACCGAATAGTTTCCCTAATGTAAGTAATGATTCAAATATATGAAAATATGTGGCAATCATGATTCCCCATTATGTGGCCTTGAAGCCTTATAAAATTTTCACTTATTAATTAGAAAGGCTTTATTCCGGGCTTCTTGATATGGAAATATTTGAAGCTATAGTATATGAAGTTTTATCCAAATATCTCAAGGAAAAAGACAGACACTATGGTAACTATTATTCTTTAAAAAAATTATTTAGTTATTTCTTATGTTTATTTTAATTAAGGGAAAAATTTAAAAAATTAGGATATATAATAGTAACTCTTTTCGATTTCCTATTAACTTGTTTTGAAGTCCTGTAATGCTCCCACGATCTTGTTTTGACTGATTAGACTCTGTTCCATTCTGTGGGATAGTATCAGGTCCGAGGGTATAGGCAACTACTTTGAAGGCAGTAAGATTCACTAAGATGCCCATTCTGGTTTGACTATTGTCTCCTTTGGAAGTCCTGTAATGTTTACAATGTCTAAGTTTTATTGGTCTTGTTCTCTACTGTTTTGTCCAACTTTATAATATCTAATGAGATAGACAAATCTTTTTAAGGAAACAAGAGACAACGTTGATAACTATTGTTAATAACCGTATACTCTGTTCTACATCATGTGCTAAGTCTATCCTTGGTTTTCACTGACAGCTTTGTTCTGCCATATTTGACTTTATTCTCCCCCCCCAAAAAGTAATAAGAACTAAGGAGTAATAAAATCTAAAATGTGTAAATTTTGTTGTAAAAAGAGAGGAAGGGGAAAAAAGAGCTCTAACGGATATAACAGCAAGTGTGTATAGGGATGTTGAATAGCTGACTATATTAATGTTTTTGGATCATTGAACACAGCTGTTTGTAGTCTCTCTGTTTGAATGTCTACTTTGTATTCTTTGATACTGTGATTTGAGCAACT